TTTTTTCTTTGTTCAATAACTAATTCATTAAAACATTTTAATTTATCTAAAATAATGAAAAACATGAGATTCATAAGAGCGTAAAATTGCCAAAATATTTATATACAGTAATCTGAATAAATCGAGAGATTCAGTGTTAAATAATTAAATTCATGAAAAATATAAATAATAGTAAAATTTAACAGTCAGATTGCACTACAAATTAAACCATTATTGTTGCATTGATGTATAAATTGGAAAACTATTGTCATATTTAGTTCAATAAATATAAATAAAAAATAAATGAAAAAATTGTAAAAAAGTGTGAATTATAATGTCAATTGGGATGTGATGTGAGATAATAGACATCAAAACGAGTTTCTTCTCGTTCTGATTGATGTCCGTCTGGAAGACGACAATGAGTTGCGCTGAAAATCACTACTTCTTTGACTCAATATATCGGTCAACGTTTGGATGATATTGCGGTCCTTCGCCTGAATGTCGATTAATTGCGAGAATTTGTTTTGCAAATCAATGGCCACCGACTCAATGCTGGTGATCCTCGACGACAGGACCACTTTGGACTCATTGAGGGCCCGGAGGTTGGTGTTGACTCCGGCCTGGACAGCGTTAAGCCTATTCTGCATGTGTTTGACTCGTCCCAAGACGTCCGCGTGTCCGGCGGCGTACTGTTCCAACACATCCTTTATGTCGTACGGCTTGAGAGCGGTGTTGAAGTTTCGTCGGGCAATGAAATACTTGACGACTCGTAGGAAACGGATGGCCGTCTTCTCCTCGTTAGTCAGCGCACGGAATCTGTTGTACGACTTCCAGGTGACGGTCGACATGGAGTTCTCGTTAGACACATAGCACCTCCACGTGCACTGAATCAGTTTGGCTGACATTGAAATTAACATTTCTTAACAAACAATTTTTTAGTACATAAAAACAAATATAAACATAAATTAAACCCCTTATCGCCCATTACCTGCCGGTGCTCTCCGTTTTCCCATTTGTCGCGCCCGTTGCTGTTCCTGAACCTAATAGTCATTAAAGTTAATAAAGTAATAGTCATTAAAATATTTTTCCGATCAAATTGTCTGATTACATGCACTTGTAATGAATAAATATGTTTTTATTTGATTACGTGTATTGCAAAATATTCGTAAACTAATTATAAATTTAAAATAATTTTATTACATCTAAAAAATTAAATCAAAAGTTTTTAATGAATAAAATAAATCACAAAATATGGGGACAAATACCTTAAGTGCGAGACCTGTTCCCAGTATTCCGGCCGGTAATGCAAATATGGAGACACCGATTATTATACATATGGACGACAAGAATTTGCCGGTCGGCGTGATGGGAGTCATATCTCCATACCTGGGCAACAAAACGGATTAATGGGAATTCATATAAAAAATATCATGACTTACCCAACTGTGCAAAGGGTGACGACTCCCCAATACATTGAGGCGGCGATGTTATTAAAGGCCGGATTCACGTCTTTCTCGACAAAATAGATGGCGAATGATATGAATAGCAGTGATAGGAATCCCATGTATGTAGTGATGGCTAAGTGTTCCCTTTGTTGCCACACAACAGAGGACATGACAGGCCAGGGACGGAACCTGTGCTCGAGTCGAAGCATTTGAAAGACTTGGAAAAAGCGAAAGCCTCGGAAATACACGAATAGTGTATGTCTTTTGGTGTCGAAAAATAAGACAATGCATGACGTGATTATAACCAATATATCGATTATGCGAAATGGATTCCGAAGACTATATGAACGCATAAATGAATTTAATTTAGATTTAAATTATTCTCCAAATAACTCACAAACGAATGGTTCCTCTCCAGCCTTGATCTGTAGGTAATTTGTTGCCAAAATGGCAAATAGTTTATTAAATTACTACAGTATCACTCATTAATTGAACTATATTTTTACTAAACAGATGGACACATACAGTGAGATATACACGAAGAGCTCCATAGTCTGGCCACAAATTCTGAGCTAAATAGGGCCGCAACCAATGCATCCATATATCGCAACCCATTTGTCGCATAAACTTCATAGTCTATAATTATATTTCAACATTTCAATATAATCTATAGTTTATTCGAGGTGTCTACAAATTATCATAACTATTGTTTTACATGTTTTAAACATTAATTACCTATTACTGTGAAGCAGTAAACTGTAGGCTAAAGAATACGATTAAGAATAACGATTAAATGTTAGGTCTATTGTATAGACTCTGAGCGTACGTTCACTTAAAAGTGAAATTGAATTTTAAAACAAACAACTTCTTACTTTTAGTATTGGTTTGCATTAAACAAATTAAATTGATTTAACAATAGAGTCATAAAAAGGCGAGAAATACCTGAAATGGTTGAGAAGACCGTCAAAAGGAGACAAACGAAGACAACTAATGAGACGAATACATGATAACTGATGGCAACGATTCCTTGTGGTCTCTGCAAGAAGTTATAGATCGCAACCTTTTCCTTATAAAAGGTGATGTNAGTCATAAAAAGGCGAGAAATACCTGAAATGGTTGAGAAGACCGTCAAAAGGAGACAAACGAAGACAACTAATGAGACGAATACATGATAACTGATGGCAACGATTCCTTGTGGTCTCTGCAAGAAGTTATAGATCGCAACCTTTTCCTTATAAAAGGTGATGTCATTCCGCAATCGGTGCAGAGGAATGGGTCGGCCCAGGATTGACAGTCTTATGGGCTCTTTCCTGGACGATGAGTACCACCTATACATCAAAGACTTCTTTCGTCTCAATAGTCTATTCTGGGACTCAATGTCCGACGAGTTCTGTTGTTTGGTTTCATTCAAAAAGTTTTTCGACATCATATGACACTTGTTTGGCATAATGTTTGACGATATCTTAGCATCCAGCAGATCGTTGGCATTATTCTTATTACTTATATTTAGATTATTTCTATAATTTGAATAAATGTCGCTTTCGTTGGATATATCGCCGCAACTGTTATTATTGAGACAATTATCGAGAGATTCAGAGCAAGTGGTGGTGATGTCCATCGATGTTAAGTCGTCTCTATCCTCGCAAACACTGTCAGATTGAGCACTCGTTTCATAATCCGGTGCTTCAATTGCCTGAGTTGTCACAAGTCTTATACTGATTGGCGACGAATGGATTGAATCCATAATTAAGTGACCCTTCAATCAGATAACACAAGAGATGAGAGGTTTTAAGTGTTTTAGTCCTTTAATTACAGTGTTTTTCTGTTCGCATATATTGAGCACAGAATTCAGTTTATTATTCTTCACGACATTATTAATTACACAAATATGTTGATGTGATAGTTATTCAATTAGATGTCTTTCTCTTAGCATTTGTCGCATATATATATAAAACAGGATCTCATGTCTAATAAAATGACAATTTTGACGCTTTTATGACGATTTGTCGCTTAGTTTTCTCAAATGTAAAGTTTTTCACAAATATAAACTTCAATTTCGTATTCAAACAACTCTTCATTTTGTCTTTTGATTAGATCTCAAAAGGCATTAAAATTGTTATTCATTTGTTTACTCATCCCCTCGTTTATTCATTTATTAAAATTGCATTCAAAAAACTTTTAATAGCATATTTTATTTATAATCTGATACCGGTATATTTCATTCATAATAACTCACCACAAATTCAATTGATTACGAATTCAAATAGAGTTTATGTCAACAAAATGATGTGATGTTTGAAAACAAACTGAGTTTTATTACATTTTTGAAAACTTCACGTAATTATATGAAAAATAGTGGTTTTTGTAATAATCATAATTATTATAATGAAATAATAAAAATAATTCAATGCCTCGAAAGCGAAGGTTTCTTTTACCTGGTAAGGTAGAGGTAAACTTATCCAGGAATTTTGTATACTTTTCATAAATTATATAGTAATATTAATTTAAATTTTAAATTTTGAGTATAAACTATTTCGACTACAATTTATATGTTTATAGTAAATAAAAGTAGAAGCATAAAATGCGATCAATTATTATTATAAATGACCAAAAGTTTTGTCAATTTTTTCGGTAAAGATTTGATATGAAATCGATGTCATTATTAGTTTAGTTAACAATCGGGTATAACTTACTGTATTCATAAAATATTTATAATGAAAAGCCGACATTTTTAACTCAAATATATGACAAAATCACGTATTGATAGATACTTTTAGTATTTATATGTTTGTCTTTTATAATAATAATAGCATATCTGATTGCATTGAAATGACCACATCCTAGACATGAATCACAAGAATAACAATTTTTTGTAAAATTAATTTCCGATTATAACGAATCACTCCTAATATTTTACTCTTCAGATTAAATTTCTAAATGTATTTTAAGTTTAAGGAATTTTGTTTTTGATTTTATATAATAATTGCTAAAAGTATTAAAATTAATGATGAGTTTCATTGCAAATGATGTGATTGAATGGGGAGATGAGTATTTCACCCGATAATTATATATAATATATATTCATTGTTAATATACTATAAAACTCGCAGAATTCTTCACAATAAATGACTTATAGCTTTTTAAAACTAAATGCAATTATTTTGAATTATTGCCAACTTTTCCTGAAACTATTTAACTTGATATTTGAATAAGTATTAATTTTTTACAATAAAGATAATTATCAATTTCACTATAATAATATAAACACGATGTCAAAGAGAAAATATTACGTTTCTAAAATAAATTTTTATTGTTGCCATATTGATAAACAATGATTCTGATGACAAATTATCAGAAAATTATTTTTCAAACTGTAAGGATTAATGAATTATTGATGTTTATATTATCATATTTCAATATTAAATTGCAGTATAACGACGAGTGATAACTAAATAATTTCTTCGCTAAATTATAGACATATATAAGAGTTTTTAATTCTACTAACAAATGTTTTTATAAACAATTAATTTGTAACTTAAAATGTTGTTTAAAAGTTATAAACATGAATTCAATGGTATTACCCTTCGAGATGGTAAGGTATGAAAAGTTGGTTTAATAGCTCTATTAGTCTACTATAAGATAGTGAAGAGAAACCTNTTATGGATTCAATCCATTCGTCGCCAATCAGTATAAGACTTGTGACAACTCAGGCAATTGAAGCACCGGATTATGAAACGAGTGCTCAATCTGACAGTGTTTGCGAGGATAGAGACGACTTAACATCTCAGGACATCACCACCACTTGCTCTGAATCTCTCGATAATTGTCTCAATAATAACAGTTGCGGCGATATATCCAACGAAAGCGACATTTATTCAAATTATAGAAATAATCTGAATATAAGTAACGAGAATAATGCCAACGATCTGTTGGATGCTAAGATGTCGTCAAACATTATGCCAAACAAGTGTCATATGGTGTCCAAAAACTTTTTGAATGAAACCAAACAACAGAACTCATCGGACATTGAGTCCCAGAATAGACTATTGAGACGAAAGAAGTCTTTGATGTATAGGTGGTACTCATCGTCCAGGAAAGAACCCATAAGACTGTCAATCCTGGGCCGACCCATTCCTCTGCACCGATTGCGGAATGACATCACCTTTTATAAGGAAAAGGTTGCGATCTATAACTTCTTGCAGAGACCACAAGGAATCGTTGCCATCA